TTTGAGAGCCACAGCTTCAAGAAGCTTTGATGGAACACAAAGTGAGCTAATCGAGCGAAAATGACTAAGATCGGTTGGTAATGGCTGTTTGGGTAGAGGCATAACCAAGGCCATCTTCCACTCAAATGGAAACCTTCCTGACTGTAACGAACAGTCGAAAATATCCAACGGAACAGGTAATACCTTAGCAACTGCAAGCCTAAGCATGTTGATGGTAATACCATCTACCCCACATGCGTTAGACTTACTATTAGAAATGGCCTCCAAAACATTATCAGTCTGGACATCTTAAAAAAAAACCTTTTGTCAAAGGGTAAAAGCACAGGGGGTATCGGTAGTGGGGCAAAAGCTGATCGAGGCGGAATTCCAACAAAGTGCTAATTCAGTAAATCAATATCAAAGGAATTAGGTGCAGCAACACTGGAGGATCGAGCAGCATCAATACATGAAGACATTTCTATATTTTTTCTGGAGAAGAGCAGGACGTGAGTCTACGTTTCATAATGATGTAAAGCGTTTCTCGAAAACGTTTTAACTATGTTACGTAGCTGTTTAAAAGAGTTGAAGTCAACATCACGTTGATGTCCACGAAACACCCGCCATTTAATATTACGTTCTTTAATAAGTAACTTAATTTCTGGTGTTATCCGGGGAAAAAATTTCCGATGAGGAACAAATGATCGTATAGGAGCATGTTTATTAAATATAAGCAGCAGTAAAGAAGTAAACAGGTTGACCTTGTGGTCAACGTTAGCAAGTTGAGATATACTATGCCAATCAACCAAACACAAATCAATGTTAAAAAGTTCACTGTTGAAATGTCTAAAAGAACGACATATAATTTGATGTGAAGCAACAACATTCAGGTGACAATCATTTTCAATCAACAAAATACTATATCTGGATATTTGTGGAGTATCAAATTGCTTACTAGTATAATCTTATGCCCTATCACTAATGCAGATGCAGTCAATAGTAGTTGCTGAGGTATTTATACAATATGTAGGCTGAAAAGGGATAACAAAGAGATTTAACGTTGTAAAGGAATCATTCAATATTCTTCGTGGATTCGATGTACTATGACAGTCAATACTGAGATCACCTTATAAAATTAAGGAATCAAAAGGCGCGACACAATTAATTATTGCATCCTCTACCTCATGCTAAAAACTACATTTGGGTGGATTGTTAACAGAAAAACATGAAAATTTTTTACAAGAAACATTCAGTTCAAATATCATGAACTCTGTGCGAAGTAAATACATACCTCTTCTAGTAGAAAAGGCAACTATTCGAAACCTAATCGAATGGTGAAAATAAACAGCAACGCCCCCACCCCCCATGCCTAATCTATCGTGGCGAATAAGAGTATAACCAGGAATATCCAATTGATTAAAATGTTTATCAGGTTTAAGCCAGGTATATCGAAAGAACGTGTAAATCATTGTCAAGGATGGTGGACTTAATGTCTTGGAAATGAGGTTCAATGGACTGTGCATTACAATGCGCTATCTTTAAAAATTGAGAACTAGGGGCTATAGTCAAGAGAAGAAATTTTACGGTTAATCATCCTTAACAATATCAGACACATTGCTTTATCCAAGGCAACATGCGATACGCTAATCATCTTTGAATTCGCACAGTTTACACATCTGTATTTTTTTTTTATCTTTGATTGGGCACTCACCACGAGAGTGTTCATCACCACAAAATTCACAACACACATTTTTTAAACAATTCTTCGCCAAGTGCCCAAATCCCCAACAATTGAAACACTGTGACACCGACACATGATCCTCAACACGGCAACGATTCCACCCGATAGATACACGTGAGAGCTCAAGCCGTTTAATCCGACATGCCAAAGAAACCTCAAGAACACATAATCTATGTTTCTTTTTAACTTTAGGATAAAAAAAAATAGCCCTAACAGCTTCATCATGCTTACCCTGAAAATTTTGCTCAAGCACGCTCCTGATCTTTTTCCAATTCAACAGGAATATCATGCACTATTATGTGTGACAAAAGCTTCACATCAGGCTTTAACTCAAAACCAATTTCTGTGAGCGCAGGGCATTTTTTGAAAAGCGATACATCAGAAGCTGCTCTCTATGTATAATCTTATGTACCACAAATGTGGTTTTTGAATCATGTATCTACTTAACTCACCCAACTGTCCTCCAAAGACGATATTTTAAGTGGTTAAAAAGGAAATTTTTTTTGTAAATTCAGATATCTTCAAATATTTATGATTGACCTTCTACTTTTATGTTAGGAATACATTTTTTGTGTAAATAGTTATAAACAATTAAGAAGAACTTTAAAAAATTTTATATGAAAAAAATTTGAACGTAAAATTTGTTTGGTTGGTTTTCGTAATAATGGGTTTGTCCACGAGGCAATACATGAGTTGAAAAAATTAGTCAAGTACAGTAGCAGATTCACCTTTAGTGAAGTAACGCAGAGATGGCCCATCACTACTCCAGCTTTGAGTTGTACCAGCACAGTAAAGTAGTGCCATACGAACTTTTGTGATCGTACCGAGCCAAAATGAAAAACTACCGTAAGTAGGAGGACCATTGGGATATGCTACATAGTACTCACACCATCTGCAGGCGAGCTGGAGACTACGAAAAGAAGGCTTTTCATCAGACTGATATTGAAGTGTTATGTTACGTACAACATTGAGGATTAACTTTTTTATTGAAGTGATTTCAAGATTTTATCAGCTCTCGTCTTAAAGTTTGACTCAAACATGAGGTACGCAAAAATCAATGTACAATTACAACATTTTTATCTTTTAAGTCAACTCGTTTATTTGTGATTCTTTCAATGTTTGTCAATGTTTACATCTTCTTTATTTTGACAAATAAGTACTTGATTTTTTTGGAAAATGCGTGAAAACTCAAGTGCTTATGTAAGCATGCTCGATTTTTGCATCAGAAAATGCTTTATTTATTGCATTATTTGTGGAAATTACCTGATAATTCAGATATATATAAGACATTGCACAGATATCAACTGGTGTTTATGAACATTCGGATAACTTGCGTCGTATACATATATGATATATACACTGAGATATTTTTAAAGAATCAAAAATGAGCAAGTTGACATAAATAATAAATTTATGACGCAATTATACTTATACTTTTGCGTACCTTATGCTTCAGGTAACAGTACCTAAATAAAAAAATAAAATAAACCTGCCATGTTTTAAACATAACACTTCAATTTCGGTTCGATGAAAAGCTTTCTCTCCATAGTTCCTAGATCGCCTGCAGATAGCGTGAACGCTATGTGGGACCCCTATCCCAAAACAGAATATTTTCAAGTTCAGCAAAAGAGCAGATGGGATGTATCGATAACACCGATGAGAAGTGATCGACCAACAATTCCAAGAAATACTTAGGTTCAGATTCTTTATTTAAAAGCTAAAGGCTCAGAATCCAATATTCAAGGGCAAATCATTCTAAAGAGAGAGAAAGAAACAGTCTTACAATATAACTATCAGCTTGGAAAAAAGCGGATCGTTATTTGATGGTTGTGAAAGCTATTAATCTTTTATTTACTTTTTCTATGATATCTTTTTCGAGAAAGCAAATGAAAGAAATCTGGATTTATATAAAAGTATGATCATTCATTAATTGTATAGTGATAGTAGGTGACACTCTTACAACTATTCCTGAAGTACTTGCTTCCACTGGAATTTTTCTAGTAGTTTGGTCGCAGGAATTGCAGTACAAAAAAATGCAGCTTGTAAAGGTACTATTGTGGTAAACACTTTGACGTTTCAGGCAAAAAAATAACTTGCTTTATGGATAACTGACAAAGAATCTAGAGCCTTTATTACTTGAAAACACACTATGTAAAGTGTATAGACTTCTTGCAGTTTTGTTCAATTCTTAATGGTACATTACGTCACTAGGGCATAAAGTACAAGCATGAGCGCCCGAAGGGCGCGCTTGTTGTAGGTTAGTGCCCGAGTTGCGTAAAATGTTTTTCTTACTGAGGGCGCAAAGTGCAATTTTGCAACCGTGGACACACTTTGCACCCAGTAAATTACTTTGGGCCTCGAGGGTGCAAAAAACTTTTCTGCTTGTGGGCCCGAAGTGACAAGGGCGCAAAGTGTGACCCGAGGGTGCAAAGCGGCAGTGACACTTTGAGCCCATGGTAAGAAAATGTAGAAGAATACCATAAATACGTACAACACATATTTACAGCGTTTAAAAGAAAAAATAGTAGTTTTCCGACGAGTTTGAAAAGTCTTTTTTTGCGAACCGAGAGGTTTTCGGCCTGAGCCAAAGACGAGGTCCGTAACGAGGTTCGTAAAGGAGACTTTTCGAACGAGTATCGGAAAACTGCTTTTTTGCCCGAGGAAGTACCAGCCTCCCAAAACCACCAAAGGGTGGAAAAGTTTATTTCATGTTTCTTAGAAGCATGAACTTGTTGCCGTTTGAAGATTAATTTTAATAGAAATTAAGTATTAAAATAAATACTAATCATTAACTTTAACCGTTTCATATAAATAAGATTTTCAAACATCACACACACTACCTATTTTAAATTGTACACGGCTTGATACCACCTCAAGCTCGCTAGGTGCTAACCACACTGGATATCAGCTCATCCCGTTAGCTGCGTATCACTTCCCAGTTACCTACCAGTTCCAGCGACAAATTGGATATCAACAGAGCAACTATCTTATTACGCCTACAGCCTCCAGCATAGTGCCCTCGTCGTTATTCAATCTTAACAGCCGCTTCGACACCCTTGGAGATAATTCAAGCCACGTTTTAACTTTCCCACTGAGTTCAAAGCCACTTACCTCAACAGTTACTTTTTAACAAACTTTTAACTTCAAACTTAAACTATAACGTTATCATCGTATTCTTCGTGTGCAGTCGTATAACAATATTACTTAAAACTAAAAACAACCGTTGTAATAATAATTAAATAATATCAACAAAAAAAAATAACAACGTAGTAGGTAAACATACCACCACCGTCACCATCCTCATCATCAGGACCGAGGCCGCTGCCAGATGCCTCGAGATCATCACGAATTTCACCACCACTGCGACCAGAGCCTTCTAAGGAATCTTGATCATCTAGGTAGATATCATCACCAAATGAGTTGTAGTTTGTATGTCCTAGTAGTTTATCCTTTAAATTTTTCTGCCTGTTCTGAAACGTGAAAAAAATAAAAAATTTTTTATGGCGAATATTAGATTTTTTTTTAATATTTACTTAATTATANATCATGATATATTAATCGGGATATTTTATGGTTTATAACTATGAATTATAATTATTTGTTTGAACAGTAGCTTTAATTTTCGGGGAACCAAAAAATTATCCTCCTAGTTTTTTAAATTTCGTTATTATAATTAATTTATATAGCTAGAGATACATTGATTCTTGTAAGTAATTTCATCATCAATAATTTTAGTTGGTTTTGAGTTTTTCAAGGCTTCTAGAGCAAAAGATAAAAGCAAAAAACCAAAGGGAAAATTGCACTTTTTTAATAAATTGTTAAATCAACAAATAAAGCCGATGTGGGTCGTGTTTCTTGTGATTATTTTTCTTGTACTTTAGCAAAAATTATGAGTAAGAATAGATTTTTGTCACATTTTTTTAACATTTTTCGGAATAATCGAATTTTTTGAAATTAATAGCGATCAACAACAAATTTGTTGTGATTTTAAAATTTCAATTTCCAAAAAAAAAAAAAACGAATAAAAATCTGTTTCTTTCTACAATTGTGCATTTTTTTTCTGCACTCACGTGTTGTTTTTATAAAAATTATAACTATTAAGCATTAAGATTTGTCATAATATAAAGTACATCACTAAATTAGTGGCATATCGTTTACAACAGAATGTAAAATCACGATGTTTTTTCCTTAAGCTTTATACAACAGCTTTTCGTATTAACTGTTACAATATTATACATTAAAAAATATAAACAGTTTTAAATGATACAACTTTTAACTTGCAAAGTCGTGGAATTAATTTAAAAATTTGAAGTTTTGTATTTTACAGTGGGATTGAATGTACAAAAACTTTTGGAAAATATCTAACTTCTTCATCACATCGATTATACGGCACCTATACTTTTTTAACTGATCATTTCTGCAAGCGATGACGATTGATGTAAATACAAATAATACTTCTTGTATTATTAGGTCGATAGATGAAATATATCTTACGAGTTAAAACGAGTACTTAGTGAGATAAGAGTGAGAATGAGATCAGAACAAAAATCTTCTTATTAAAAACATATTTTTTCGGAATCCATATAGTTTATTTGATCAAATAATAAGGTGTAAAAATTCAAAAAAATAATTATGCTGAAAAGTACCGTGCGTTCATTATGCCATAAAATTGTAGTTACTAGATACATTTAAAGTTTTTCTTCCAATTCACCTTCTTGCGACTTTTGGCATGCTTAAAATTTTTGTGACCCCTAAAGGCTGTTTTCTGTCAACTTTTTTAAGTCCTAATATATTTTTTGGCAAGGTAGTTCGACACCCTTTGGCTCCAAAAAAGACCAGTGAGCTTCTTAAGTTAACTCTTTCTTGACTACAGTTAACAGCAATTGTGACTGCCTGGATACCTCAGGGTGATCTCCTCTGGCCTGCTGTTAAAAACCCGGACTGATCGGGAGAAAAATTACAAAGTCTGAAGCTTTGGGGCTAGTTGTGGTGCTCTTTCCCAAAGTCTCCCGGTATAACGTCGAAGACGTTGGTGTCTAAAGCACCTTTTTTATTTGCAGATTCAGTTGTTTTGGTGATCTTAGATGGGGAGATTGGTTAGTGACACTTGTCCAGTGGAGGCTGTCCCGTTGGCCCAAGTTTTTTTTCCTTCATAGCTGTTATAGGTTTTCCCAGCGCAGACCTTAGAGAGGATCAGTGATTCCTGGTTGAATGCTTAGAGTCGAGAAGGTAATATAAGGTCGTCGGTCACCGGGATTCCCAGCCGTGTGAAGAACAACTCCGCTCGTGACGACTGCCGGACCGGTGATTGGATGACTTAGTTTGATAGTGGCCGTCTTTAGTTAATATAGTCTTTTAGTCGACGAATCGCTTCCGGAAATGGTAGTAAAAATGTATTTGTTGGCAAGGTAGCTTACACTTAGGTGGCCCCTAAAAAGAACCGATGAAATTAATGGTTAAGTAGGGAACGTAAATACTTATAATGGCCCTAAAAAGCGCCAGTGGTGAGACTTCCAGGCTATTCTTTATCATTATTCCTGATGATAAAGAGCTGGCTACGGGTAGCTTGATTCTTACCCTGGGAGTCTCGATGTACGGAGACTGTGATGGAGGAAGGTACGCCGCTGACCAAAGATTATCTCGTCTTCGGGTCGTTCCCCGGATAACCAACCACTCATCGTTAGACGGGAACATGTGGGTAAGCGCGTTAGGGACGCAACGACTACGAAGGTAGCCGTTGTGGCTGCCCGTGCCCCTCAGAGCTGTTTTTTCTGGCTTGCATTTTTAGCCAAAAATTCTCTGACTGTACCAGGCGGGATGGTGGGACTGCCACACAACTCTGAAGAGTTGGTATAGATTGTGCTCTGGCTAGATATGTCTCCTGGTATAATGCCAGAGATATCATCGGTTGGAATAAATTTTTTTTGATCGCCCTCGCCAAGATTCAGGGAGAATGGAAACCTAGGTCCTTTCCTCCTTACAGAAGAGTGTCGTCCGTAACCGGGATATCCAGCTGCAAGACTATCATAAGCATTCTCTATGCAGCTCGTTGAACTGCCGAAGCACGACTGCACTACTATTGAGACGCTCCGGCGTATTATAACCACACTTATTTAATTCTGTTGCAGGTAGCCTCGATTTTATGTCGACGCCACCTAGCGCATTTTACTTAACCAAAGTGAAAAGCTGGCGTATTTTTGAAAAACTTTAAGCTCATTTATTGCTATTGTTATTAAATTTTTTAAGATAAAAACTATACTAAAACTATCTAGGAAGTATCATAAATCAGTGTGCAAAATTTCAGAATAATCGGTTCAGTAGTTTTCGTGGTTAGCGATTACAACGGTCTTAGCTACTTTGCTTTATATATTAGTAAGATAAAATCTAGCAGGTAAATCTTTGACATGATTTTTGACACTTCCTAGATGGTTTTAGTATGGTTTTTATCTTGAAAAATTTAAAAACAATAGCAATAAATAAGTTCAAAGTTTTGCAAAAATATGCCAGCTTTTCACTTTAGTTCAGTAGGATCGGCTAGGTGGCATCGACATAAAATTGAAGCTACCTGCTACAGAATTGAATAAGTGCGGTTATAATACGCTGGAGCGTCGCAGAAGTTCCTGCATTCGTCAACCAGCAGTTTATCTAGCTGCATCAAGAATATAGATGATTGTCATGCAGCTGGGTATCCCGGTTATCAACGACTCTTTTGACTCTCTTCTCCAATGGGTAAGTGATCTAGGTCTACTATCACCCTGAACCTCCAGGGTTGACGAGTGCCACCAATAAAAAATGTATTCTAACCGATGACGTCTCCGGTGAAGTACCAGGAGACGTGTCTAGCCAGAGCATATCCTGCGCCAACTTATTAGAGATACGTGGCCGTAACACTATCTGGCCTGGTGCCGTCAGAGAATTTTACACTACAAATTTAAGCCAGAGAAATGAGGGAAAACAGCCGTGAGGGGCATGGGCAGCCATAACGGTTTCCTTCTCAGTGGACGTGTCCCTAACGGCATCCCCACATTTCCCCGACTAACTATGAGCGGTTGGTGACCCGGAAAACAACACAAAGACGAGATATTTTTGGATCAGCGGCGTACCTCCCTCATGTACGATCTTCGTCCACAGAGACTCCAAGGGTAAGAGTCAAGCTACACGCAGCTGGCTCTCCATCATCAAGAATAATAATAAGGAATGTCTGGAAATTTTATCACTGGCCCTTTTCAAGCCCAATGTAAGCATTTACGTTCCCTGCTGAACCATTAATCTCATCAGTCCTTGTATGGGCTACCTAAGTTAAGATAACCTTGCCAACAAATACATTTTTACTTCAATTTCTGGAGACGATTTGTCAACTACAAGACTAAGTAAAGCCAGCCACTATTAAACCAAGTCAGTCATTAACTGGCAGACGTCACGAGCAGAGTTGTTCGTCGCAAGGCTGGGAACCCCGGTGACCGACGACCCTATATTACCCTCTTGACTCTAAGCATTCAACCAGGAATCACCGATCCTCTCCAAGGTCTGCGGTGGATGAATCTAACAGCTATGAAGGAAAAAAAAACTTGAGCCAACGGGAGTCTCCAACGGGCAAGCATCACAAACCAATCTCTACTAATCTCTCCACCTTCGATCATCAAAATAGAGTCTGCAAAAAAAAGATTCTTTAGACACAAACGTCTTCGACGTTAAGAAAGAGCACTACAACTAGCCCCAAAGCTTCGGACTTTGGTATTTTTCTCCCGATCAGTCTGGGGCGTCAACAGCAGGCGAGAGAAGATCACCCTGGGGTATCCAGGCAGTCACAATCAGTTATAAATTCTTAAGTTGTAGATCCTTAAAAAATACGAATTTGCCATATTTTAATGCACTATTTTGTTACTTATTTGACTCTCTGAAAATTGACGAAAATATTCTAACACGACAAAAAATCAGTTTTTTCGTTATTACTTATGTTTATGATTTATGTGTGATTTAGGAAAATTGTACATCCTGTTATTCTAGGTATTAGAACACACAGTAATGTCTAGATTAACTTTGATTATGATGGTCTGAATTACGATAATTTACAAAAATAACTTATAACTAATATAATGTAGTAGTGCTCATATTAATTATTAAAAATGGGTGTTTTCGAACCTGATGGTGCATGTCAACAGGGTTAACACCATTTCTCGTGCTTTTCCGGGTTCGATGCGCACCAGGTGCAAACTCTATTTTTTTTAGTAAGAGCGAAGTAGATGTCCAAAGGTAAAAATATATCTGAGTTAGAAAAAAAAAAAAATTTTCAACTCATAGAAATATTGTTAGACTTTTTGCTCAGAAAAGAAATATGGCAGTTGCGTCTTGAATGCAAAAATTCAATTTTTGCATCAATTTAGCTGTTTATTTTCTGTCTAAAGTAACGCATGCGTTAGACCATTTTTAATTCTAAACCGTTTTCCTGAATTCTTATCAATGTTTACTTTAATACAGTGTACATTAAAATTGCTAACGGTCCAAGTTTTTGTTAATAAGAAGTTATTTTCTAGTACAGTTTCTTAAAAAATTAATCCAGTCAATTTTGTCAAACAGCATAGACCACCTAAATAACTACTACTAGTGCACTTTACTTTGGTTAGTCAAAAAATGAACAATAGAGAAAAAAATCCTGTCAAAAAAATAAATCTTACAGTATTAAAGGTTGATACTGTTTTAATTAAAATAAATCTTAAAAACAGCCTTTAAGTGGATTGATTCAATCTTATCTTAAATGCCAATTAGAATTGATTAACTGTATAGTTCCACTTGTTATTACTGTCTCTTCAAATTGAACTTTACCTAATATATGATTGAGTTAATCATATTTCGAAAGAAACTTTGTTTTAGCTTCCAGAGTTCAATACCTTCTCAATGGAAGAATCTACAAACACTACCCTAAACTCGGCATTATTGACATCGGTTCTTTAATAAATTATTCAGATACAGAGACGTTTTATTAACACGATTGGATTTAAAGACTTTTCAAAATATTTTTGTTTGTTTGACCATTTATTGAAATTGACTAAAATCAACAATAATTAATTGCCTACAATAATATTGTGTGACATATTGATTTACGATTAGAATCAATTGAATTTTTAATAGTCTTTTTTTTCGAGGGTAATGATTACCTGATGTGTTGTCAAAAACTTTTTAGCTTGCTTTTTGATTAATAAATTTTAAATTTGAAAGAAATGGCACATATAACTTTATTGGGAGTATTTCTAGAATCTTAGTCATGATTTTCTCTTATTAAAAATAATATCGATGTTCCTTGTTTTTCTTGCAAATCATCCACAAATATTCTACTTTACTGTTTTATTTCTTACTATCATAGAAAGGCTAATACATACTGTTAGCAGAAAAAAATTTTATGTGCAGAGAGTATTACTATAAAACCTTTTTAGTACTTCACATGAAAAGTAAAAAAAAAAAATGAAAATAATCTGGGAAAACGATTCAGTTAGGTACAATTTATGAGTCAAAGAAAGCAGAAGATAGGTGATAATTGATAGAGAAATGAGTTTGACATGGTCAGTAACAATGAGCAAAACCATACTTCTTCCTATTTAATATTGTACATTAATGTAAGTTTCAGAATCAATACACTCAACTAAATATATTTAATTTTTTTGTCTTATCTCACAAAACCATCAGCTCCTTTCACATTCAATTGTGCATGCTTTATGTTTCTTCTTTACTCTTTCTCTCTCTCTCTCTCTCTCTCTCTCTCTCTCTCTCTCCCTCTCTCTTTCCCTCTCTCTCTCTCTACCAAAGTTAACTATGTATCAAAGAGAGTTGGTAAATAAGGATAGAGGAAGAAATCGATAGTCATCCGAATGTTATCAGAGACAAGCCGGTTAGAGAGAACAGGTCACACTTAGATGAAGCAGCGTACATGCACATGGAATGGGTAAGCAAGAGAGTAGTAAATGATCCTTCTCACCTCATTGTTGGCACTGCATCTTGTGAGGAAGAAGAGTCCAAGCAAAGTCCAGCACGCTATTCTGCATTGCATTTCTGGGCAGCTATGACTTAATATTACTTAAGCAGCTGTTGTACTTGATACTTGCACTACACTAAATATCGCACTCTTACACCGTCAAGATGGGAGTGCCACCCCAGTAAAGTTTTGGTTTCCTTTCTGACGTATATACAAAAGTCTGAGAGTTGTTCTTCTTCCACTGTTCTCTCGTTTGATCTCTGCTCTAGTTAGTGAGTAGTATAAGAAGCTGTTGCTGTTGTATTTCTTTCTGCTACTTAGATTGGTCTCCAAATTCTGGAATGAAAAAGTGTATTTCTATTACTATCAACTTGCACGTTTCACTAATCTTTTTTTTCTTCTTTTAATTTATTCTTTACTTTTGATTTTAACACTGAATATGTCTGTACGCACGAACACGTTAATCTATTCACTGACCCTGTAGTAGTGCACTATTTACTATCACCACCGAGCTTCCTTGATACCACTACTCTGATATTTCGATCTGAACGTGAGTGACTCTCTCGATCTCTTAACCACCGGAGAAGCAGCCAGACATCACCACGATGGCGCAAGTGTCGATACCTCTCTTTTGTTTGTTAGGTATATATTTTAGTATTATAGGTAAGGAATAAGTTTGAAAGAAAAATGAATTTAATATAAGTAGAGTATAGATAGTATTTGATTCCTTCTTCCTAACTAATCACTTTCAACTGCAGAGTTTCACTAGTAATATGTTGACCTCGTCTTTAAAGAAGACCATAGTGTCTATCTTACGCTTCGTCCGACGATTTTTGTCACTGGTGTACTTTCAGATGATAACGACATCTACCTACATCTATCAAATGTAGGAATAAAATTAGCTACTAACTATGCTATCAGAATCCTTTTGACCAACAGTCGCGCATCTTAGTATTGATAAATGAATTCAATGGAGGCGAAAACGATTTTTGTACATGTTAACAAAAACGCTAAGCATTTTGCAGCTACTTACTAGGCTTAGGAAATAATGAAAGAAGAAATAGTATTAAAGTTAACTTTTTATTTTTTATTTTTAAAAANTCTATGTCTGTTTTGGCACTTTGAGGAGTTTCAACTCCTTAAAGTGCCAAAATTTCAATGACACTAGCGTTAGGCCGGAAAACGGCGTGCAGTCTCTCATTGTAATAACTAACATTAATTTTGTGTGGTAAATAAAAAAAAAGAATAAATAAAAACAAAAAAAAAAAAAAGGAATCATGTGACTTGGCTTTAGGGTAAGACCATATCTGACCTCATGAACAGTTCGAAACTTTTTCATAACATACATTTATTTTCAAGAAAGTCTTTTTGCCCGTAATGGAGTGACATATTTCAACTGGTGCTATAGCTATTATGCCAACAATTCCTAAGAAAGCAAGTTGACTTTGAGTATATACCTCTAATACATATGCACCTGAACATTTTATTCTATTTTATTGTAAAATAACTTGTCTATCTCTTTGGAAATTTAATATAATATTAGTTTTACAATTGCAGCATGCACAAAAAATTGGACGAATTCTACAGACCATTTTCTTACAAATTCAGTTTTTATGGGTTTTTATGGGGCTCTTCTATAAGATTACGTATTAAGTATAGAAGTTTTTTCAACATTGCATTTCTAACAACGGTGATGTGGAACAGTCTGAAATTTTACATGTAACTTTCTGACATCATTACTAACAAAAGCTAGGCATGAAAGCAGGTTAAATAATTCACACTTATGTTTTTCAACTTTAAAGTATTTTGTCAAATCGGGTTAACCTTAGAGTATATACGTACATACATAATACGTGTGTGTATGGGTGTGCATACTCATCCATCCCAACTATGGTTGCAGTAATCTCATTAAGGGGGTTAGAGCGAAAAACAAACTTCTTATGACAGTCTCCAAAAAATTGTAATGTGTTTGCTTTCATTATATTAACAAAATATTAAAATTTCAGGAACCGTAGCGTCACAGTTTTTGAGAAAAAACACAGCAAACTTAGGATCTTATACATAGGCTCTCATAAGAACGATATCGTGAAACTTACACTTTCACCTTGATTTTCACCAATAACTTGGAAAATATTTTTACAAATCTTTCAAAAAACTAGTATGATGTTGTAAATAACAATTATAATAACATATTCAAATTTAAGGGAGCCTGCCATCATGGTTTGAGAAATACTTTAATTGTAAGTTTGAACAAAATGCCTTTGGTATATCTATATATAGTCAGCGAGAAATAAAACATTGCGCGTGGATTCAATTGTCAAGAATTAATTTTTTTTTCTCACTTACTAGTAATCTTCTACTGTGCGATATAGAATAGCTTATACGATTCATCAAGAACAACGTTATAGTACATTATGCACCTAGTGAGCGAGATTAAGAATGTCGCAGAATTCACATGAATAAAGGTGAAGTTGAGAGCGGTTATGGGGGTTAGAGCAAAAAACAAATTTTTGACGACAGTCTCCAAAAAATTATAACGTGCTTGCTTTCAGTTTGTTACCAACATATCAAAATTTCAAGAATCATAGCTTCACAGTTTTTACGAAAAAAATAGCAAACTTAGGATATTATACACAGGCTCTTATGCAAACGTCGCGTCGTTAGGAAACTTACATTTGCACCAATAACTTGGGAAATATTTTTACAAATCTTTCAAAAAACTGGTATGTTATTGTAAATAACAATTAGAATAACATATCCAAATTTTAAGAAGCCTGCCGTCAGGGTGTAAAAAATACTTTAATTAAAAGTTTGAACAAAATGCTACTGGTGCATCTATATACAGCGGTCAGTATATGAAGGCTTCAGAAATTCCTTACAAAATATGAAGTCAACACATTAAACTTACCTAACATTTTAGTTTTGTTAAAAGCTATTTTTATGAGGTTACTATTACAGATGTTTTTATAATAAACAATGTACAATATCTTTTTAAAAACTACTTAGTCATGTGAGAGTAGACCTTGTCATCGTGTGACTCCCTATTGTTGCTGCTTAACAAAAACCAATAAAAATAATATTTTATTGTTTATCAATCCACATTTGTACTAGTTACCTCGAATACAGTGTAATGAAAACTTCTATTTTACTTTATTTAATAATTAAGAAAAACTACTAATAATTTTTATTGGTATGTATCTGGATTGCTGGAGATAACCTTTAAAGTAAAATTATTATGAGTATTTGATTTTCATAAGGTAAACTGAATTTTAAAAAAACATGCATACGTTTTTATTGTTTTTTATTTGGTCGTAAAGAGAGTGCGTTTTGAAGAAAATAATTTTGATTAAGCTTTATGGAACTTCTCAACCAAAAAAAAAGTAAAAGTGTATAAAATTAAATTAGCAGTAATACAAAATTTTAAATAAAAAAAAAACATTTGCAAGCACTTTTAAGTCCATTTCGATATTACAACACTTAGTAAATTATTTCCAAATCACTAATTAATTCTTTTAAGTGTATAAAAACAATAAAATTTGTTGTATGCGTCGGAAATGTGAACTTGGTCCGAAAGATTATCAAGCTGTGTGAATCAATCAATCCCTTTGTCATTGAGCTTAAATTAATAAACTATGACAATAAGACTTTTTATAATGAAATAGTTCTATTGAATACTCAAAAAATTTTCTACAATAATTTGAGTGATACACCATATCATTAAAAGATATTAATGTTATTGCAGTGTATGTTACAAAGCATTAAGTTAAGGTTGAATAATAGTATGTATTTTAAAACATTTTCAAATTTTATATTGATAAATTCCTTGCTTGGATATTTGTAGAAGATTTTTCATTAATGCGTCAAAATTAATCAATTTATTAGTAACAATGACATTTTTGTGCAATTTAATAGTGACTTTACAAATAATAAAAGCTATTATTATTTATAAAGTGACTATCACACTGTAAAAAGTTATATAAATGAGTTATAAATGAGTAAATTATTAAAAACGTTTTATTTATGCCTTACAATGAAATTTTTCTAAACTTACTTAGTAGAATGCAGTTATAAGTATATAATGAAGTTCAATTTCCAATGGTTGTTTACAGATATGCCCATACAGCCGAGGATGAGTGTCCCATTGAATAAACTTATTGGGCTTGACAAACACAAATGATATTAGATCCGGAACTTGATGAAACTTATACAGTTATTACGGTATTATACCATTTATTCTTGTCCTTACTAATACAGAACTCAATAGAATTTTTATGTCCATCTACTTTTAATAGGCTAATTTTTGTACCTGTATTCCCGAATAAAACTATGCTTAGGTTATCTGGTAAAAAATAATATTAGCTATTTTTTTTTTGCAGATAGAAGCCATCACAAGGCTTTCCAGGCAAACCTTATAAACTAAAGGATGGTATAATATCATGTGTTGGGTGATAAAAATTGCGCTTTTTTCGAAACAAAACCATACGTAGTAGGCAATCAGAAAATCCAAGTACATACTTATAAAGATAAACGATAAGTAAATGCGTAAAATGTCACATATTTTTCATGTAAAATATTAGAGCACCTGTGTAAATTTGTACAAATACGTCTAAACAAAACTATTTAAAAAAATTTTTTTTACAGGATAAAAGCAATAAAATCATGTAGGATCAACAGCCTCAATAAATTATTTAAAAACAAATATTCTATTATGTCATTTGTTGAACATGTCGTTCTGCTGTCAGTTGTTTCCATGATAACTTTAGGGTCAGTGCATAAGCACACGATCAGTAAGAGCTAATTTAAGAGAACGAATGAAAAACTCTAAAAAGTAAGGTGTTGGTTTGAGCAACGTTTCGTTGATCTTAACGCCAACCTCATCAGGCTCACTTTAATATGAAAAAAAAAAACAAAAAAACACAACAATTTACGTAAATTAGATTGTAGGGCCACTATTTCCAAATATCAACATTAATTCAATAAAAGATTATATGTTATTTGTCTAATATAAATTCTAATAAAAACGACTTTTGAAAATTAAACAATTACTCACGTCTATATCGTTATGACGAACGTTACAGACTTTTGGTCGCCTTAAATGAATAACGTAAAAGTCGAAAATGTATGTATTTCCATGTATAAATATAAACAATAAATGTACGCTTCTTGCGAATATAGATAACGTGTACGTATACATATCTACAATGGAGAGTTAAAAGAGATTACTTATAAAATCTCTATATGTGTTATTGAGAAATAAGGTGTCCTCTTTTTTATTTATCGTGTGTTTAGTAGAGTGTATGTGTAACATTTCTGATATTAATCTTTTCTGTCTCTTTGGTTTATGATCTAGAATTTTGGTTTGAGAAAAATTTAAATTATGGTTGAATTCTCCAAAATGTGCACCTATATGATTATTTCCACGCGAATCCACTAGTAATCGGCGATACCATGTCGATACTTTTGTTCAAGTATCGATACCAATAGCCGATACTTTTAGGTATCAAAAAATAGCGATACTTTGATACTCGATACCCACAGTATTAAAGTACCAATATTTTCTGCCAAGTATGACTGTGCGTCGATATATTATTACACTTTTTGAGAGTTTTTCTTCTAATCTAAGGCTCCAGTCACATGAACAGCGTAACGCGTACCGCGTAACCATTTAAGCCCATGAGAGTGAGAGAGAGGTTCGCGTATTTAACCTCCTCACACTCTCATGGGCTCAAATGATTACGCGATACGCATTACGCTCGCCATATGAATGTGGCCTAAGTCTCTTTTTTCAAAAGAAGAAAATACATGGCAGGATGGAAGGTTGTTT